GGCTGGGCGCCATGACTGCCTCTTAGGCCGCGGATCGGCGGAACCAAAAGGCCAGGACTGATTCTGATGGTGGTACCACTTAGGCCAAAGAAAAGGAAAATGGACAGTGTAAGGCAAGTGCTGAAGGTTCTAGAGACACGATCATTTCAGATTTGCAAACAACGTGAACAGGAAGTAATAAAACACCAAAACTGGCTAGGTGTGATGGCATAAGCCTGTATTCGGAGGACTCAGGAGCCTGAGGCTAGAGGATCCTACCAGTTGGAGGCCCACCTAGAGCACACAGAAAGACCATGACTCAAAAACCAAAACCAACAAGTGTGTGTCTACCCCACACACACTTTTTTTAATACCATCAGGTGATGAAGAAGATTGGATTGAGACAGAGACAAGGACCAGGGTTACACAAGAAGTATGTATTTAGAGGTAAATTTGAAGGATTGTGATAAGATTAAATCTGGCAAGGATCAATAGAAATCTGATATTGGGCTGGTGAGATGGCTCAGTGGTCTAAAGCACCTACTTACAACAAGCTAAGCAAAGCCCAGGGACCGCGGTTCAATCCTCCAGCACCACATGCCAGCCAGCCCCGCCCCCTGGTGGGCTGAGCTGGCCACACACACACACACACACACACACACATAAAATAAAAATAAAAAAAAAGAAAGATATTTTAAAAAAAAAGAAATCTGATATGGCTCCTCTCTAATTGGGTGGTAACTATAGGCTTCTGTGCAGGAATTGACTGACTTACAGTTGATGTAGTTGATATTCTACATACATTAGGTGAAAGTGGGAGAGAGAGTTGACACCAACATAATTACTTATACTAGTGGGTTGTTTTTTTTTTTTTTTGCGGAACCAGGGATTGAACTCAGGCCCTTGCACTTGCCAGGCAAGCGCTTATTCTACTGAGCTATCTCTGCGGCCCCTACTTATACTAGTTTTCATAGTTTGTTTAGTTTTGGTTGTTTGAAACAAGGTTTCATGATTTCGTTCAGGCTGGTCTTGCATTCATTATGTTGCCCAGGCTGGTCTTCAACTTTGTGATCCTCCTGCCTCAGCCACCTAGAGTCCTGGAATTGCAGTTGTGCACCACCACGCCCAATTAAACATTTAAAAATGATTCTTTTCAGGTGATTTTATGTAATATGGGGCCTTCAAGATAGCTCAGCAGACTAAAGTGCCTGCTTAGGCAAGCACGGGGACTGTGGTTCAATCTCTGGCACCACATGCTGTGCCAGCCCCACCCCCAGGGCAGGCTGGGCAAAACAGAGTCCAGGTGTGGCTCACAACTGTAATCCCAGTGCTGAGGAGGCTGAAAACAGGAGGATCACCACAAGTTTTTCGCTGTGTAGTGAGACCCTGCAACGACCAAATACATTTAAAAAAGAAAGAAAAAGTGCATATAATATGATGGCTCTAGGTGAACCTAACATAAATACAGAGAAACCTTTTTAAAGTATGTAAGAGGCAAAATAAATGTAAAAAAAAAATAAAAAAATAAAAAAAAGGGGGCTGGAGAGATGGCTCAGTGGTCTAAAGCACCTACTTAGAACAAGCTT